GTGTGGGCGCGACCCAGTAACAACAAACACGCTCCATGCAATTAACTGCCTCACTCACGGTGGCCTTCAGCCTGCCTGTCTGCATGCGGCTTTCTAATGTAGGCGATGGCCTTGAGAATAATGTGCTGGCATATGTGCTGGCGTCTGTGCTGTGTGGCGTCGTCGGTGCACAGGCGCATTACTAGTGGTGCTACGTCGTGCACCGCGAGGGCGCAGAGCAACTCAACACTATGACAAACCAGATCGAAAATAACTTCAGCAACGGATTCAAAAGACACAACCAATGAAATGAACAACACCGTGATACATCAAATCAGCGGCTGGGCAAGCACTGACAACTGCTGGAGCATAAGCGGACCCCCCCAGCCCGAGTTCTACGACAGGCTGCGCGCCACCTGCACCGCCAACCAGAATCAACAGCAAGAATGCCCTGATGGTACGTGGCTAAGACTAACGACTTCCAGAATAACGCTCCTCGTTATCGGCCACCACGCCGCAGGGCACGGAGGGGGCGTGTCCTCAGGTCCTCTGCATAATCCCTTAAGCACTCCAGAACAGGGCCCGGGGCCCCGATTGCCATGCCTTCTTGGGTTTCCCTGGGGGTCCCTGGGCTTTCTCGCGTCTTCCCGTGTGACTCTGTCGGTCCCAAGGGGCGCCCAATTCGGGCCTGGACGGCCCCGAGAAGCCCCCAGCCTTCCTGAACGGCCGCTATCTGGATGAGAGAAGGCGCGAGTTCTTCAATGGGGGGCCCAAAAATATAAACCACCACCACCTCCCTCACCCCCTCCCTCTCCCAGGAAAGAGGAAAGGAAGAGGAGGGTAGAGGAGAGAGGAGGTATCGACGTCGTGGTGGTGTATGTTCTTTGGGCCCCCATGCAAGGCCCCGAAGGGTGGACTGCCTGCGGCGCCGGAGCCTGGACGGCCTTCAATCCCCGAAGGTGCGATACTGCAAACAAAAAAGGGAATCCACGGACTCAGTGGCGCACCACTGCTGTGGCAGGGCTCGAGTCAAACAGTGTTTTCCGTTTTCGTTTTGTTTTCGTTATCCCTAGCTCTGTCTTCGTTCCACATTTGCTGCAAGACGAAGCCAAAACGAAAACGGTCCACGAAATCGCCAAAACACCGTTTAGCTCGAGCCCTGTGCTGTGGTACGAGGGGCATCGCCACTGCCGGGAGCATCGCAGTCAAAGCTACGCCCCGCACTCCTCATCTTCAGGGGCGAGGCAGGAAAGGTGATCGGGCTCATCGGGACGCGGGTGGACGACGATCTGATTGCGGGATCCCCGGAGTTCTTCAAGAACCAAGTCACAGCGTTGAGGCAGATGCATTGCCGCGGCAAGTGGCACAGCATCGAGCAGGGCTTTCGTCATTGCGGGAGGTACCTCAAACGGATCGACCATGGCCGCATCTCTTGCACTCAGACGGAGTACACGGAGAGCATCGAGCGCATACCTCTGAGCGCGGCACGACGCAAGCGCAAGAAAAGCAATATCACGGTAGAGGAACGCCAAGCGATGTATCGAGTTATTGGACAAGTGCAGTGGCTGGTCAGATCTACCAGAATGGACCTCGCTTTCAAGCTGGTGGAGAGCCAAACGCGTGCACGCGACCTGGAGAGCACCGTGCAGAACACCATGGAGATCAGCAAGATGATCGCAGATGCTAAGACATATCAGGTCGAGACCATCTTCCAAAACGTCGACCTGACCACGGTGGTGCGATCGGTGACTCCAATTTCGCGAACGTTGGCCAGAACAAGACGGCCAGCCCGGCCGGGCTCAACATCCTGATAGCCGAGAATGAGGCAGGAACGAGGAAAGGCGACACCAACACCACCAGGGCGAGAAGATGCGAGGCAAAGGGGGTCTCCCCGGTGCTGTGGTCCCCCCCTCGCTCGAGACATACCCAGCCTCCGGCTCGGGGAGGCATCGTGGACCTCCTCGCTGAAGGTGGGCCCCTGGTAGTGTTGGTGTCGCTCCTCCTTCCTCCGAATGAGGATGACAAATTTAGTCGAGGCCCAGGGCTGAACCTAAACGGTGTTTTTCGTTTTCGTTTTGTTTTCGTTTTCCCTCGCTTTTGTCTTCGATTCGCCTTTACCGCAAAACGAAATCGAAACGAAAACGGCCCACGAAATTGACAAAAACACCGTTTAGGTCCAGCCCTAGCCGAGGCCAACTGGCGGAAGTCACACCAATGGTATGGGCATCACATCGCAGCAAACGGGTTGTTCGTGGCACCCTCATGGCGGAGACCGTGGCAGCTCCGGAGGCAGTCGAGAGCGGAGATCTCACACGAGCACATCTTGCCGAGATGCAATACAAGTTGGATTACAGGACGCACGCCGATGATGTGGCGAATATCAAGTGACTACCTACCAGACCACCCCAACCCAACCCGAAGACCCGAATTTCGGGTTGGGGGGGGTACGGGTTACGTATATGTTTTCTCGACGTTCCCCGACCCCACCTCCACTGGAAATGGGAAATGGAGTGCAGATTGAGGCCTTCGGGTTGGGTTGGGGTGGTTTGGTGGGTGGTGATCAAGATGATCCACGCGACGGATTGCAAGTCGCTCTACGACTTGCTGCAGAAGCGTGGCACGACTCCTAACGAATGTAGGCTATTGATCGACACCGAGGCGCTTCGTAACGTTGAGGAATCAAACCTGGTCTCCAAGTGAAAAAAACACACGACAAATGCTGGCCGACTATTTGACCAAAAGCGACGCTCGGGCGGCTGACTACATGCGCTACGTTCTGAAAGCAGGCTACTACAGGCTCACCGAAAACCCGGAGGCCGACCAGGCGGTCGCCTAGATGAGGTATCAGTTGAAGGGCGAGCGTGGCGAGCACTACAGAGCCAAGTACCCTAATAGCGAGTCAGACCAGCGCAGCAGCAGTACGTCATGAAGGGCTACACGTACTACGACGAGGCGTTGGCCAACGTACGATGCGGAGCTTTGCCAAGACTGGACCCAGATGGGAGCTCAAGTGGCGTATGATGGTCGCTCAGGCGGCGGACGACACTCGCTACTACACCACTGAGGACATGGTCGACTGGCATGGACTTGAGGTTACGCCGAGACGACGAAGGATACCTAAGCTGATCAAGAAGCTGATCACGATCTACGCCCTCACAAAAGAAGCACTCACTATTTGGCACCACGACTTCGTGCAGGGACGCAGTCTCCTGCACGAAATCGACAAGCGGCTGGACATCAACGATCCGAGTGCCGAGGATCTCGACCAACAGCCGTTGACGCTACAAGCGCAACGCTCAGCGGCGACGGAAAACGACGACTACTACGAGGCCTACTTGACGGAGGACGGCACCGATTCGGAGTTTCCGATCGCGAAGGGACCGGCTGGAGCAGCAGCTGCGATGGTGGTGTGCCGTATGTCGTATGGTGGTGGACCAGTGACAAGTGTGGACCACGAGTCCGCAAGGCAATGAAACATCAAGAACCTGAACAACCGGCATCGTCAATTCGGGAAGATGGCAAGACAATTCTGGTAGATTCACCGGCAGTCTACGACGACAAGAGGAATGTACGAGGATGGCTGTGCAAAGAAGCGGACGACGAGATCGCCATCCCAGTGACAAGCAAAGGCGAAGCCAAGAGTGTGGCAAACCTCTCATCTCCTACGAGCTCGGAATCTTCAGCAACGGCAGACAGGACGGCTCCGAACCAGGCTTACGACAAGACCATGGACGTCAAATATCGTATCTACGACAAACGGACAGTCAAGCAGACGGTGAAGGAACCGATCATGGACCCAGCTACCTGCGAGCACCGACTAGAGTGGCTCACGACCCAGGGAAGCAACCAGTACAAGGAGAAGGTGAAGTGCAGGGCGTGTTTCCAAATGCTGAAGGACCAGGACACTCCCGAGTGGAGGCCAAAAAGCGTGCGGCGAAGCCCAGGTGGTATGGGAAGGCAGAGCCGAGCAAGGATGACGAGATTGAGAGATCGAGGCAGACCTAGGATTTTACTTTGAGCGCAGTGGCGGCACAATTCTTTGACGGCAGAGGTTGGACCGGCACAATCCTTCTGCAGTAATGAAGCGAGCCTTGCTGCGAGTCGACGCGCAGGCCCGAGCGTGCATCGTAGAGCTGAAAAATAAAGACCTGTGTGATTAGAAGTGCTTGTGTGTACTGATGTGTGCATGTGCAAATCATGATGTGTGCTGTGGACATTCTGCTCAAACGGTTGAGGCGCCTTGAGCCCTGGTGAGACAATAGAGTTACTCCGATGCGCTTCGTCTCATGCAGCGATAGCGAGAGCACGGCGACAACGGTCACATCAAATAGATCCTGTCAGACCCCAGGGACACATACGGTTTTCAGTGGATGTTTGAGGAGTGTCGCGGAAGTCCGCTGGTTTGGGGGCTGGCGCCACGTTGATGTAGCTGCTGACCAGATTCACCTGGTGGTGAGTCTTTAAAGGCTGGCCGTTGAGGCTGAGGGCACACCTGGTGGTGCAATTCTTCGCCAAAGGCCCAGCCGACAACTTTGCCAGGGTGAGTATTCTGGCCAGAGACCTCGCTCAGTCAAGCCCCGAGCTCGGCCGCAGCGGGGTCCGTGGAGTTGATGTCATCCACGAATGACGTGCTGAATGCCCTTTGGACGTGCCCGTGTGACCTTGGGACGAAAGAGAGGAGAGGGAGGAAGGAAGGAGGTGAGGAGGGAAGATCAGGGCTGAACCTAAACGGTGTTTTTCGTTTTCGTTTTATTTTCGTTTTCCCTCGCTTTTGTCTCGAATCCGCCTTTACCGCACAACGACATCGAAACGAAAACGGCCCACGAAATCGCCAAAAACACCGTTTAGGTCCAGCCCTGGAGGAGGAGCTCACGAGCGAAGTGAACCCCCCCCTCAGAAATCGTGGGGGGTAGGGGTAAGGTTCGCATGTGGCCCCCTAGAGGTGAGGAGGGAGGATGAAGGCTGGGGACGGAGAAGGGTAGCAGGAGGAAGACCACTTCGCCGCCCCGTTGTTCCACAGCCGAGGGGTGTTCCTCGGGAGCCGGGCCTTGCCCTCCTCGCTGGCAGCCCAGTCGGCGAGCTCTGCCAGCCTCATCGCCAGGGGGGCATCCTTCTCCCCCGTTCCTTCCCGTTCCCTGCGGTGCCCTCCCCTGCGGACGCACAACATAATCTGGCCATCGCTCGGACGTCCATTTTCTGTGTTTTTGTTCGGTTTCGTGCGTGGTTCTTTCGCAGGATGGTCCAGGATGCTCCTTAAGAATCCCCGCCGAGAAAAAGTGCATACGTCCGAGCGATACCAAGGAATCGTGACGGCTCGGCAAGCTTGCCGAGAAATGCCGAGGTAGGCCAAGCTGTGCCCGCCTCCAGGCCGATCGAAAGCGCGTCCGAGAGGGCATTCAGAGGGACCCAACAGAAGGGCTCACTCGTGTCCCCCCACCTCCACCCCACGGCGATTTCCTCCTCTCCCTACACAATTACACAATATGAATACTACTCTCCTCTCTCCCCTTGTGACGTCCGCATACTCGGCCCCCTTCCGCGTACCGGTTTACACACAGGACTCCCGGGAAACGGGTTTTCGCTTTTTTTTTCAAAATGCTGCTCTCGCTGAAACGCTGGCCTCATTTCCGCGCTTTCGCTCGTTCCGAATCGTGCTCCCGCTGCAGCGATGGGTCATTATTTCCAGAGCCATGCCACGGCATAGTTTTCGGTCCTTCGAAATACGCCCAAAACTCTAGAAAATACCCCCCCAAGCAACCATCGGACGTGATTCCACATTCGGTGTCGATTCGTTGAATTTTTGGGGCCTCAGATGCCCCGCGATCGCACCTAGCTTGTCACCTCCCCCCTCCATCCCCCCTCCTCCGCCCTCTCCCCCCTCGTCTTCCTCCTCGTCCTCGTCCTCCTCCTCCTCCTCCTCCTCCTCCTGATCCCCTTTACTTTACCCTCGCGCCACAAACCTTCCGGCGAAATGCTTTGTCCAATCTCGGTGGTCTCCCCCGAACTGTGGCTCCGCGAGCCCGTTCCACACGCGGGGGCCATGACACAATTACCCTGGCGACGTACCCAACCCCTGCGCAAACGCGGGGCGCAAATAGTTTAGAACACTTTATCAGGGGGGCGATGACGGAGCGAGGGTTACATATATCTGCAGACGGAATTCGGGAGACTCGCAGGACACTGGTTACAGGACAAGGACTAGATAAAGCTGATTAGTTACAACCCCTGAGCAACCCTAGCCACTTCGAAAGCGGGGATCTCAGATCGCAGCCCCCCAGGGATGGCGAGGTCTAATTTGGGTCCGCGCGTGGCGTCACTGTGCTGGGCCCCCCAGCAGGCCTCGAAAGTGGCGACAGTTTCACAGATCGCAGCCCCCCAGGGATGGCGAGGTCTAATTTGAATCCGCCCGTGGCGTCACTGTGCTGGGCCCCCCAGCAGGCCTCGAAAGTGGCGACAGTTTCACAGATCGCAGCCCCCCAGGGATGGCGAGGTCTAATTTGAATCCGCCCGTGGCGTCACTGTGCTGGGCCCCCCAGCAGGCCTCGAAAGTGGCGACAGTTTCACAGATCGCAGCCCCCCAGGGATGGCGAGGTCTAATTTGAATCCGCCGTGGCGTCACTGTGCTGGGCCCCCCAGCAGGCCTCGAAAGTGGCGACAGTTTCACAGATCGCAGCCCCCCAGGGATGGCGAGGTCTAATTTGAATCCGCCGTGGCGTCACTGTGCTGGGCCCCCCAGCAGGCCTCGAAAGTGGCGACAGTTTCACAGATCGCAGCCCCCCAGGGATGGCGAGGTCTAATTTGAATCCGCCCGTGGCGTCACTGTGCTGGGCCCCCCAGCAGGCCTCGAAAGTGGCGACAGTTTCACAGATCGCAGCCCCCCAGGGATGGCGAGGTCTAATTTGAATCCGCGTGGCGTCACTGTGCTGGGCCCCCCAGCAGGCCTCGAAAGTGGCGACAGTTTCACAGATCGCAGCCCCCCAGGGATGGCGAGGTCTAATTTGAATCCGCCGTGGCGTCACTGTGCTGGGCCCCCCAGCAGGCCTCGAAAGTGGCGACAGTTTCACAGATCGCAGCCCCCCAGGGATGGCGAGGTCTAATTTGAATCCGCCCGTAGCAATTCTGGCTCAAGCTCAAGCCCTATAGCTCAAAAGCCCTATAGCCTTGCTTTTTATTTGAAATATTTGTTTTCTGGCAAGAGCACTTTCTCTTACTCTCCGATCCCTCTTGCAACTGTAGCTGCAATGGCGGATGCTCATAGTATTGCTACCCCGAAGCCTCGGTCCCGCGTGCCAGGTTCCCCGGTAGGCCATCTGTTCAAGGACGGCCTCCAGGAGAACGACCCGTGGGCGAACATGGCGGCCAAGAAGCAGCACTCCGGCCACGGCCCCGATTCCCCGTACACCCTTCTCCTGGACGACGCGCAGGCCCACCTCGAGGGGTACGTGCCGATGGCGGGGGACCCCGGGGACGCTGTTCGCCAACCAGATTTCGGAGAAGCTATGGCGGCCGAGGCCGAGCCAGTGACAATGGCTGGCATTGCGGCACTCCTCCAGCAGCAGCTCGCCCTGGTCACCAACGTTGTGGAGGACCTCAAAAAGAAGCTCGGGATCTTAGACGGCAAGGTCGGGAACCTTGCGGAGACCCTCGGCGGCCGGTTGGGGGGCGTGGAGGCGAGCATCAACTCCAAGGAGATGCGCGTCGAGAAGCTAGAGACCATGTACGAGACGATGGCGCAGAAGATTCCGGGAGGGGACGCGTTCGAGATGAAGATCCAGGAGTACATCAAGGAAGCCCTCTCGGCGAGCCCCACTCCAAAAACCACAGCCTCTTCGCTCGCGCTGATGTCCAAGAGGTCCTTGAGCATGGTCGTTGGAAATTTGGACGGCCTAGGGGACCTTGCCACGTCGATCCAGCGGCTGACGGAGCGCCTCAAGGCCTTGTGCTCGCCAGCCCCGTCCAAGATTTACTCGAAAGGCGAGTTCAAGGGCATTCTGTTTGCAAAATTTGGCACTACAGACGAGCGTGACCGTGCAGTCGAGATCCTCCGTGCCAGCGCCCCCACCAACGGCGAGAAGAAGGTGTGGGCTAGCGAAGATCGCTCACCAGCGAACCGGGCGGCCCGCAACTCTTGCCTTGGCTTCAAGCGGATCCTGAAGCAGGAGTTCAAAGTGCCGTACGTTGTGAACGTGTCGGACGGGGACCCCTACGAGGTGGTCGTTGGTGGCGAGCACGCGTTGACAGCGACCGTGAAGGACCACGACGTTGAGTACCAGTGGCACGGCGCGTGGGCTGCGTGGGAAGAGTTGCACAGCCACCCCCTCATCAAGGACCTCGCGACCAAGTCTGTGGGTCTGCTCGCTCGTGCCGGCAAGGGCATGAAGGGCGGAACCAAAGGGAAGGGCGGGGGCAGCGGGCCCCATTAGGACGCACAACACATGGGCAGAGTTTCACCGGCAGCAGTCGGCAATACTGCAACTATAAGCCACCATCGTTTGAGAATTCATGAATGCACGAACGACGTAGTTTCACCCACAGTCGGCACTACTGTGGAGCAGCCTCTACTCAACCGGGCCGGACAGGCACGTGTCTTCCGAGGTGGCGGCCTCAGACCTTGCTCGCGGCAGCTCCGGATTGCCACCTGGAACGTTGAGGGTTTCACGGACGCGAAAGAGATCGAGCTGGAATGGCACATGCGCCAACAGAGCATTGACAGTCTGTGCATGCAAGAGACTCACAGGGACATATCAGACTACTACGTATCGGACGGCGGCTACTTGTTCATTTTCTCTGGGTCCGCGGACGAGGAGGATAAGGAGACGGCAGGCGTTGGCTGCATCATCTCTCCGCGGCTGCGCTCGAGTGCGGTCGGCTTCAGGCAGGAGTCAGCAAGAATGGCATACGTGAAGCTGCGGGTGCAAGGCGGGAAAGCTATCGTTGGCAGCGCGTACGCGCCGCATAACGGGAAGAACTTCGAGGACAGGCAGCGGTTCTTCACTTCTCTTGGAGCTTTCCTCGCTCAGACGTCGCGGCACGGCCCGATGATTTTGCTCGGAGACTTTAACGCGCGCCTGCGCAGGCGCCACCCGCAAGAAGAGCATATCATGGGACCGCATGTGTTTGGGCACCCGGAGGCTGAGCACAACGCCGCTTCCAACCGCAGCCTGCTGGTTGAGCTGTGCGAGCATCACAAACTCTGCATCGGCAACACAATGTTTCATGAGCCAGCACATCGTCAAGTCACCTGCTACAACGTGGGCAAGAAGCCGTCTCACCCTGACACGCCGGACAATTTTGGCCAGATCGATTTTGTCGTGGTTTCACAGAATTGGGTTGAGCATTTTCAATCAGTGGCAAGCAACAAGGACTTGGCACTGGCGTCTCACCACTTCCTCGTGCAGGCGGACGTGGACATAATGGTGCCGATCGAGGCCCGCCGCGAGCAACCGACTCGGCCTGACTTGCGGGCTCTCCGGCTGCCAGAGCATGCTAACCGTTTCGCCATGGCCTTTGCCGACGAGATGGAGGCCGCCGACACGGGCGACGGCGGGGCCAACGAAATCGATGCTGCAGCCGTGGCTTCCTTCAAACAGGCAGCCGCCACGCTACCTATAGCGCCGCCGGCGCCGCGGAAACCGTGGATTCCAGACCGCACCATGACGCTCATCGTGAAGCGCACCGAGGCCAGAACACGCGGCGACCTGGCAGAGGAGAGACGTTTGAATTACGTCGTCAAGAGCTCTGTGAAAACGGATAGGGCGGAGTGGTTGGAACACCTCCTGGTGACGGGCGACTGAGACCAGGTGCGACGATTGCGTAAAAGGGCCGGGCGGAAGCAATGCAAACTTCGCAACGTTCGCGGCGACCTGGTTGACTCCGAGGTCCGTGCGGACACGCTGGCAGACTTCCTGACGGAGGTGCAGTGGGCCGCGCGCGACACCACGCCGATGTCGACAACGCCCCTTGGCCCCGACTTGCCGGTCAACTTGGGGCAGATCGAAGACTGGGAGGTGACCGAGGCAGCCAAGCGCATGAAGTGGGGCAAGGCGTGCGGCAGTGACGGTATCCCCGGCGACTTCTGGAAAGCGGTCTGCGCTCGCGACTCCCCGGCGAGAGCTTGGGCGCTAGCGTTGTGCCGGCGGTGTTGGGACCAGGGCGTCGTGCCAGAATCTTGGCACAATTCCTTAGTAATTGTGTCCTGCTTCAGACCAGTGTGCCTGCTTCAGGCCGGGTACAAGTTGTTTGCGACTCTTCTCCTCCGCCGCTTGAAGGACGCCGGGGCCGAGGGCCGCATCTGGGGCACCCAGTTTGGATTCAAATCGCGCCACGGCACCACCGACGCCATCTTCCTCGCCAGGCGGAGGCTGGAGGAAACGTGGTCGAGCGCAGAGGGCCAGCTCGTGCTGCTCGCTCTGGACTGGGCCAAGGCGTTCGACAGCGTCATGCCGGGGCCTCTGCTGGAAGCGCTGCAGCGCTTCGGAGTCCCAGGGAAGATGTTGACAATGATTCAAGCCATCTACACGGGCAGGAACTTCGCGGTTCGCGAGGCCGGCGTGACGTCAGGGACCCGCGAGCAGCACGCGGGAATCTGTCAAGGTTGCCCTCTCTCACCCTTTCTCTTCGCCATGGTGATGACCGTGCTGCTGCGCGACGCCCGGGTCACGCTGGGCGACCGCATGGGGGACACGGAGGATCTCGTGTACGCTGATGACACGCTCATCGTAGCCACTAGCACGGAGCGCGCGCAGGAGTACATGACGGCTATTGCTGCCGCTGGCACGAACTACGGCCTCAAATTCAATTGGGGGAAGCTTGAACTGCTGACAATCCGGTGCCAGGGGAGCGTGACGAGTCCAGACGGCGCCCAGATCCCCAAAAAGGACTCCATGGTTTATTTTGGGAGTGTTTTGGCGGCAGATGGATCGATCGCTTCCGAGCTGAGCAGGCGACTTGGTTGCGCCAGGGCTGAGTTCGACACCCTTGCCCGAGTCTGGTCTCATTCCACCTTGTCCACACAACGGAAGTTGCAGATCTTCGAAGCCTGCGTGCAGACAAAGTTGCTGTACGGATTGCACGCGGCGTGGCTCCGGAAACATGAGTTGGCCAAGCTCGACAGCTTCCACGTGCGGTTTCTGAGGAAAGTGTTAAGGATACCGCATTCATACATTAGTCGTATCTCGAACGCTGTAGTTCTGGACAGGGCCCGCCGGCCGCCGTTGAGCCGCATCTTGTTGCACCGTCAATTATGTCTTTTTGCGCAGATTGCCCGGCAACCGGTTGATCATCCTGTGCGGCGTGCGGTCTTCCAGCCGTATTCTTCGGAGCTGCGTCCGCCGGCCGGCAGACGACCCCGGGGCAGGCCGAGACAGTCATGGACGAATGAATTGTACAAGCATGCGAAGAGAGTCTGCGAGAGCAATGCGTATGATTTTCGACAGCTCGCGGCAATCCCAGCAGAAGCCTGGAAAGCCGCTGTGCGACACTACTGCCCATAGTGTTGCATTACTGCCCATGTGCTTCGACACCTGGCTTGCATTCATTCATTCGTGGCGTCACTGTGCCGGGCCCCCCAGCAGGCCTCGAAAGTGGCGACAGTTTCACAGATCGCAGCCCCCCAGGAATGGCGAGGTCTAATTTGAATCCGCCCGTGGCGTCACTGTGCCGGGCCCCCCAGCAGGCCTCGAAAGTGGCGACAGTTTCACAGATCGCAGCCCCCCCAGGGATGGCGAGGTCTAATTTGAATCCGCCCGTGGCGTCACTGTGCCGGGCCCCCCAGCAGGCCTCGAAAGTGGCGACAGTTTCACAGATCGCAGCCCCCCGCAGGCAAGACAAGAGGAGGCAAGAGGGAGGCGGGACGGGAGGCAGGAGGAAAGGAGGAAGTGGAGACCGCACTGCTCTATTCAAAACGAATACCCAACCAAGGAGGGTTGGGAAAAATGTCAGTGGGCCATGAAGGATCGAGAGCTCTGTGGCCCACGGGCTGAAAGCAGAGCAACGCCCGAAGTCCAGGCCCGCAGAGGCCCTGAAGCGGGAGCCAGGAGCCTCGACCCTCGATCCCCGCAGGGAGGCGAGGAGATGGAGGAGATTGTTCCTCCCTCCCTCAGGAGGGAAAGAAACACGCAGACACAATGAATCGGCGATTCCCAGAAAATATGGGAAATATGGGAAGTGGGGGGGAAAACAAAAACCCAGAACATATGGGAAAATATGGGGGGATATTTTTATTTGTGTGTATTTATTTGTGTGTACCAGTTCCCCTTCACTCCCTCCCGACCCCCCTCGCCCCTGCCCTCGCCATCGCCATCGCTCGGACGTCCATTCCCTGTGATATTTTGATTTCGTGCGTGGCTTTTTTGCCAAGCGATCAAGGATGCTCCTCGATGGTCCTCGCCGAAAGAAAAATGCACACGTCCGAGCGATGCCAAGCGCCTGGGCTTGCCATCCGGCGCCGACGCGTGATCCCGGAGGCTGGCCCCGGACGAAGAGGAGAACAGGGACTGCTTTGCTGCGGGCAGCCCCCGCAGTGCCGTCGGCCCACCAAGTCCGCGGGCGGCACTGGCTGGAGGAGGACGACGGCAAGCGCCATCGCGCGAGGTGGGGGAGGTGGAGCAGGAGAAGGACGAGGCGGGATGCGAAGAGGACGAGGAGGAGGAAGGGAGCGTCTGGAGGCTCTTCGTTGCCCTTCTGTAGGGGGCCACATGCGAACCCTACCCCTAGCCCCCACGATTTCTGAGGGGAAGGGTGGGGTTCACTTTGCTCGGGAGCTCTTGAACGAAGTGGACCCCCCCCTCCCCCTCAGGAATCGTGGGGGGTAGGGGTAGGGTTCGCATGTGGCCCCCTATCTTCGTTGCCCTTCTGGCCTAATGTACAGCGGCGGCCGCAGCTTCATCTTGACGACCGAGGTCCACCACGTCGTCCACCTCCGGGGACCAGGAAAACAAGCTGCGCGCCGGCTCGGCTCCGACTTGAGGGGCAGGGCCGCAGAGCTCCCGGGCAGGAGGAGGAGAGGAGGAGGAGGAAGAGGGAGGAGGAGAAATCAGAGCAGAAGGAGGATGATGAGGAGGAGGATGAGGCGGAGGAGGAGGAGGAGGAGGAGGAGGAGGAGGATGGGCATGAGGAGGAGGGGGAGGAGGAGGAGGAGGAGGAGCAAAGAGAAAGGAGAAAAGAGGAAGAGGAGGAGGAGGAGGAGGAGAGGAGGAGGAGGAGGAGGAGGAGGAGGATGGAGGACGCAGCAGGGAGGCGGAAGGAAATGAGGAGGAGGAGGAGGAGGAGGAGGAGGAGGAGGAGGAGGAGGAGGAGGAGGAGGAGGAAGGGGCGGGAGAGTGGAGGGAGGAGGTAGAGAGGATGGGGTTAAGGAGGAGAGAGGGAAAACGGAGAAGGGAGGAGGAAGAGAATGGATGAGGACGGATGCAGGAGAGGACGAAACGGAATAAGGAGGCGGAGAATGTCCAGCGGCTCCCAATTCCTGGCTCCTGGCCCTCGGTCCCTGCAATTCTCGGCTCCTGGCTCTGGGCCCTGGGCCCCCCGCTCCCGGCTCTCGACTCCCGGCTCCCGGCTCCCAGGCTCCAAACTCCTGGCTCCTGGTCCCCACTTCCCGGTCCCCGGCCACCGTTTCCCGGCTCCCGGCTCCCCGTTCCCGGCTCCAGGCTCTCGGCTCCCGACTCTCCGCTCCCCGCTCTCGGCTCCCGATCCCTGGCTCCTGGCTCTCGGTTCCCAGCTCCCGGCTCCCGGCTCTGGGTTCTCGGTTCTCGGTTTTGGATTCCCAATTCTCGTGGCTAACGGTTCCCAGCTCAGGGATTCCAGCGGCTCCCGGTTCCGAGCTTTCAGTTTCCAGTCTCTCGCCCTTTCTCTCTCTCTCTCTCACACTCTCTCTCTCTCTCTCTCTGTTTATCTTACGCTCTCCCTTGTCTCCCTCTCTCCATAATACTGTTTTGCTGGTGTCTCTGATTTGTTTGTTTATCTTCCTCTCTCCTTCTCCCTCTCTCTCGACACACATATGTGTCAATTTACACGAATATAAGATCGACCAATTTAATAATATGCACATCTATGTAAGGGCCGACCCTCACTCTCGCTCTCTCTCTCTCTCTCTCCCTCTCTTTCTATACGTCGTGTATATATAAATACATGTCTGCGCATATATCATGACATGTGTCGCTTAAATTATCCCTATATGTGCACATGTACTCGATTTGACGTAAATGATGACACACACACATTTAGAGGGAACATGCTGCGGTGTTTTCTATTTGATATCTGCCCACTTGCCCCACTTGCTCAATTGGCCCCACTTGCCCCCGACCCTCGCGGGACCCAAAGCAAGTGGGGCAAATGGGGCCAAGTGGTGCAGGAGAGGATCCCCACTCTCAGGTGCGCCTCTTGGTGCGTCTCGGAAAGCGGGCCTGATAGGGGCCTTGTCGCAAGTCCAGAGCCCACCAGGGAACCCACACGGGCTCCGGAAGGGGGAGCCCGAATCCACCAGAATCCCCTGGAGGTCCCCAAGGAGACCGCCGAGTTTTCAACATACCTTCCCCCGACACGGTTCGCCTTTGGAAAAAAACATGGATCATGCTCTTTTGCGGGAATACAAATAATGCATGTGTCATGTTTTTTTGAATCGCCGGGGGCGGGCAAAATCCGATTTGTTCTCCCAATGCAGGAATGTCCTCCGAGGAAATCGCATTGAAAACTGGAGCGGGGTTCCATGCTTTCTTTGCCCAATTTCCGGCCCCAGACGGCTCCAAGATGGCCCAAGCTGGCCTCCCAGATGCCTCCAAGACGGCCAAGGTGGCCTCCAAGACGGCTAATATGGTTCCAATATGCCTCCAAGATGGCCCAAGATGCACCCCAGACGGCCTAAGATGGCCTCAAGACGTCCCAAGACGGCCTCAGGGACCTTCAAGAGGCCGCCAAGACGGCCTAAGAGGCCTTCAACATGTCCTCCAGGAAGGCCCGAAGAAGTCTAAATCATTGATTTGCTTTGTGTTTGAAGGATTTTGGCATTTGCGCCTCTTCGGCCTTCCAACGGCCCAAATTAGCCCAAGAGGCCCCCAAGATCGCCCAAGAGGCCTCCAAAGTGGCCCCATGACGGCCCAAGAGGCCCCCAAAACGGCCCCAGGACGACCCAAGAGGCCTCCAGGACGCCCAAGATGGTCCCCAAGACGGCCCTGAAGCGTTCCAAGAGGGCCCCAAGACGGCCCAGAGAGGCCCCCAAGACGGCTTCCGACGGCGTCAGACGGGCCAGGAACGACCTACGGCCAAAGAAGCCCCCGAGAAGCCCCCAAAAGGCCCCCAAGAGGCCCAAGGATGCCCTCAAGAGGCCTCCAAAAGGCCCCCAGGAAGCTCCCGGACCCTTTTGGGGGTTCTCTTGGGGCTCTCTTGGGGGTCTTCTTGGAGCCTCTAGGGGGTCCTCTTGGGGTCCTCTTTGGTCCTCTTGGGGCCCCTTTGGAGGTCCTCTTCGGGCCTTCGGGTCTCTCGGGGGTCCTCTTGGGGCCCACTTGGAGGTCCTCTTGGGGCCTCTTTGGGGTCCTCTCGGGGCCCTCTTTGTGGTCCTCTTGGGGCCCTCTCGGGGGTCATCTTGGGCCTCTTCGGGCCTCTTGGGTGTCCTCTCGGGGCCCTCTTGGGGGTCCTCTTCGGGCCTTCGTCGTGGTCCTCTTGGGGCGCTCTTGGGTGTCCTCAGTCACAACCTCGCGAGGCCGCGATGGTCCCTGGTGCCAGTTTCAGCGCCGCCTGACCCCTCAGGGCGCTCGAGTCAAAGTGGCTGTGGCTGGAAGGAGAGGGGGGGGGGAGGAGGAGCGAGATGGGAAGGCCGAGGGGGAGCAGGGAAATCACCGGGTCCGCTCAGAGTCCAAGACCCCCCACCGAGTTTTCAGCTGAAATCTTCCAATGGGCCCGTTTTCAACGAAAAAACACAACACTTTCAGGCCACCACGCGAAATTCAAAACATGTCAAACGAATGGATGTGACATGTTTTCGATACTGAAGGGCCGGCCGAATCCATTGTATTTGTACGAAGGTAGCGCGCCTCGAAAAACATCGGGTCGTCGGGGCTTCCCGGGGGCGGATTCAAGCGTTTTGGGACCCCCTGGGAGCGCCCTCCTCCTCCCCCTCCTCTTTTTCACCCCTCCTCCTCCTCCCCCTCCTCCTCCTGTTCCTCCCCCTCCTCCTCCTGCTCCCCCTCCTCCTCCATTCGCTCACTCGCCCTCGCGTGCTCCAAGCGCACGCCTCGCCTGCGCCTTGGAGGGCAGGGTGAGAGCCGGGAGGAGCAGGGGCACGGCGAGGGCACAGGAGGACGAAGCAGCCCAACTGGCTGCTATCTGGAATGCACCCCTTGCACCAACTTGCACCAACGACGAGGAGCCCAACTGGCTGCTATCTGTAATACACCCTTCTTGCCCCACTTGCCACGCCCGCCCGCCTTTGCGGAAACGAAACCCACTCGCCCTGGCCCGCCTGCCCCACTTGCCCCGCTTGCCCCACTTGGGCAAGTGGAGCAAGTGGGGCAAGTGGGGGCAAGTGGGGCGCATTTCACATAGCGTAACACCGCTGCATGTGCAATCCATATATATATATACACACCTACATATTCGTGCACCTTTCGGCCGATTTCGGCGTGCGGCTCTCGGTGGGCGGCTTTTGGTAGGCGCCCCCATCAAGAGATTGGCAAAAGTAGCTGGCCGATTTCGGAGGGCAGCTCTCGGTGGGCGGCTGTCAGTGGGCGCCCCCTTTCTCTCTCTCTCTCTCTCTCTTTTTCTCTCTCTCTCTCTCTCTCTCTCTCTCTCTCTCTCTCTCTTGGTATATTTCTATGTCAGCGGTGTCGGCAGGCGCTCCATATCTCTCTTTTCTCGTTCTCTTTCTCTCACTCTCTCTCTCTCTCTCTCTCTCTTTTTTTCTCTCTCTCTCTCTCTCTCTCTCTCCCCTTCGCTATGAGTCTCTCTCTCTCTCTATATATATATATATCAGTTTCACTTTTCGTGCTTCCCCGATACGCAGTACATTATCTAATCGTTATGTTTGATGTTGTTTCCCCCCCGCGTGTTCTGCAATAGATGTCTCTCATCATATGATTGGGTTTTCTTCCCCGGTGTAATACATACAATGTATCTGTATATATATGTATGTACGCACACATCCATATGTGTGTTTACATAAACGGATAGCTATACACATACCGACACATTCAATGTATTATACGTGTTTATGAGTATGTGTGGATCGGTCTCCCACATGCAATTTCATTTCTTTGTATACACATATGCACTGGCACACCCATACATAAACATGTACGTTTGATTGGCGTCTCCCTGTCCACTTCTGTCTCTCTCTCTCTCTCTTTCTCTGCATCTCTCTCCGTATCTAGCCATGCGATGCTATGTGCATTGTATAAGTAAATGTATGTTCGCAAATGCTTGTGTATCTGTATGCTTACAGCGTACAACATGCCGTGCGTACACAGATGGTTCTATGCGTGCGTCTGAATGTTAATATACTCAGCTGGACTCAAAACGGTAAACATGTGAATGTACATATGTAGCCCTGCCGTTGTCTCTCCCTCTCCCTCTCTCTACCTTCCCTTCCTCTCTACGACGACATCTGCACGCAAATTCGCTGAGCACCCCGCTCGCCCGTAGCTGGGTTGCGTCTGCAACCACAGCGTCGGGTGCGCGCCGAGGCCTGCGCCGCGCCGAGAGGGCGCGGGCGCCACGAGGCCTCGGTGCTGGTCGCAGCACGACCCAGCAACGGGCGAGAAACGGGGCGGGCACGGGTGGGTCAAATCCCGAGCGCGGGGCGCGCGCCCCAGGCACACACAAACCTGTGGTACCTGCGCGCGGCCGCGGCGGGCAGCGGCCGCGCGGCCCTGCCCGCATCGCCTGCGGCGCGCCGCGGCGCGCGCGAGCCAAGCGGCGGCGCGGCGACTGC